ATTCATCCCCCATCAGTTTTAAACTTATTCACACCATCATCCATCCCTCTGTTCTGATCACTGCTAAGACCACCTCCTACTTAGGGCCAAATTGTATCTATGCCATGCAACCCATCCCCACCTCTTGCCTTCAAATCACTGCTTCCACCAATCCCTTCTGATCTCTGTCTCCATTTGTCTGTCTCTGTTCCTCCTCTTCAATTCCACCTCTCCATTGGTAATTTCTAACCCCATAAGCAGGCCAAATACACATTTTTTTTTCCATTTTATGTATTTAGTGCAGGATCTCCCTATAGAGCTCAGAATTGTGATCCTCCTGTTTTCAGCCTCCCAAGCACTGGGATTACAGGCGTGCGTCACCACACCAGGACTTGGTCATCGGGTCAGCACGCCCTGGGGACTGGCACAGTATGTGGGACCCAGGATCAAAACCTAGTCCCTGCACCTGCTAAAGCAGGCACTTAGTTCACTGAGCTATCTCCACAACTCTCCAAATTGCCTTTTAATTAAAAGACAAACTTTTCGAAATCTTCCTTTCTATACTTTTCTTCAGAGTCCTTTGTGGAAAACACTATATTCTTCTCAATTAGCTACGCTTTAGCCACAATTTAGCTACAATTCACTTTTCAACCCCCTGAACACATTACAATGTAGCTAACTTCTCTAGCTGCAATTACAGTTAAGACATCCTGATCACTATATCCCAGAGGCTTTATTCAGTCCTTATCTTACTTGTCCTCTTCAAGGCAGGATACTTGGGGGAGGTGGGATGAGGAAGAGTCTCCCTGCGCAGCTCAGGCTGGCCTTGAACTCACTATGCAGCCCAGGCTGGCCTCTTGCCTCAGCTTCCCAAGTGCTGGGATTACAAGCATGTGCCACCACACCCAGCAGGATATGGCGTTGACCACTCTCCCTCAGCTTCCTGTGACAAATCAATCAAGGTTTCCTTTTTTCATCTTTAGTCTGCCTGGCACAGATGGCTAGCTTCTCTTCAGCTGCTGGCCCCATCTACCGAGCAGCTCACGGTCCAAATAGAGGCATCCTATCATTTTGCTGAGCATGGTGGTGTACAGGTGTAATCCTACCATTAAGAAGGCTGAGGCAGGAGGATTGGCCTGAGTTCCAGGACAATCTGGGCTACACAGTGAGTTGAAGTATACCCCTGGACTACACAGCAAGACCCTGTCTCAAACCAGAAAAAAAGAAAGAAAAAGAGAAAGAAAAGAAAAAAGAAAAGAATCATCCTGGGTCAGCCAAATAGGTCAGCAGATTAAAGCGCCTACAAGCAGGCCCAGGGGCCTGGGGTTTGATCCCCGGGCCTGCCATGACGGCCCCACCCCAGGGGCAGATGAAACAGCAATTGAGACTGGACATGGTGGCGTGTGCCTGTAATCCCAGCTCTGGGGAGGCTGTAAACAGGCGGATCACTATGAGTTCGATCTAGTACTGAGACCCTGAACACCATGTAGACCCTTCCATTAAAAAAAAAAAAAAAAAAATCCTAAATCTTCAATCCTTCTCAATTCTATAATCAGATTATTCTACCTTGTTAATGCTTCCTAAATCTTTCAGACATCCACCTCCCTGTTCTACATCGCTCATCATTTCTCACTAAGAATAGCTTTTTAAATGGTCTTGCTTCTAGTTTTCTAATTTAGTGTTCATTTTCCTGCTAATCAGTCTGAAATCACAGCACCATCCTCTTTCCCTTCAACTAAATCCCCATAACCTTCAGAATGAACCTAAAACTTCTAAACTTGTTTCACAATCTGTGATTTTAAGTATTACTTCATTTGTCCTTTACTCGAAAGCTGTATTTCACATGTGGCTATGAAATATGTAAATGAAGCTATTCCAAACTGAAACGGGCTATGATTCTAAAGATGTTGTATGAAAAATGGAAGGTCATGCATCTCAGTGTTGCAGTGTCATATTTATTGCATGCAGAAATTATATTTTACACATATTCAGTTATATTATATTATAAAAATTTCATTCATTACTTTTTAAAATATGGTTTAATATAAACATTTAAATTACATAGAAAGGATCAGCCAGATAGCTCAGCAGATTAAAGCACCTGCAAGCAGGTGCAGGGGCCAGGGGGTGAGCCTGCTGTGCCAGCCCCGTCCCCAGGGCACACTGAGAGGGCCACTGAGACTGGGCGTGGTGACGCACACCTGTAATTCCAGCTCTTGGAAGGCTGTAAACAGGCAGATCACTAGGAGTCCAATCTAGTAGTGAGACCCTGAACACCCTGCAGATCCTTCCCTAAAATACAGAAAAAGAAAAATAAATTACATAGAAGACTTACATTGTTGCCCTGTATTTCAAAATGATGGCATTGGTATAATATGTCCTTTCCCTCTGTCTGGACTGAGTTAACTCATGTATTATTCAACTGTAGCTCAGGTAGCCCTCTAATATTCTAGGACACCCCAGTACCAAGAACCCAAGTCCAACTCAACTTCTTCTCTGTGCTTCCATTTTCCATTCCTAGGCACTTGTGTACACACCTGTAACTAATCACATCCTATTATAATTGCTGATTATCAGCTATCTTTCCCTCTGAAGCTCCTTGGGGGAGAAAAAGAGAGCTATCATTTTGTATATTCTCAGTCCTACCATCATACCTAGCATTGAAAAGACACAAAAATATTTATGGGATAAATGTGGACTACCTAGTCCCACCCCAAAAGTTAGAAGGGAAGAGCCTAAACTCTAGGCAGGTGGCTCCTGTAACAAAAAGACTGGGGGACAGGAATGAAGAATAGGAATATAATAGAGAGATCAACAAATGAGAAAACACAGTCTCTCTCTCTCTCTCTCTCTCTCTCTCTCTCTCTCTCTCTCTCTCTCACACACACACACACACACACACACACACAACCTGCCTCTGACAGTGAAAATAGAGCTCTGCCACAGTGATGCGAAGCCTTGAACTTTTGGCTGGCATGCTGAGGACCACAGTTTGGTTCCTAAATTGTTTAAACAATGCATCCAACAACAACAAAAGTATGATCTGGCAGGGTTTAACACAAGCAACTAAAGCTCAGCACCTGTTTCACTTAAACAGCACATCACTGCTGTTAAAAACAACAAATCTCTCTTGTGAAGCCAATGTTAATCTCATGATGCTTCACCATGGAGCAATTTAGAAGAGTTATTGTATGAAATGTGCCAAAATATGAATTTATGGCTGATGCCTATTTGGCAAATATAGTTGGCACTGCTAGATGTCGAAAAGCATGTATGCAAATAAGCAAATAAAAGTCTTTAAGCTCTCAGCCTTAAATATTTACATTACCATAAATGTATAAAGATAAATGTTTATAGGAGTACACATATTACGCATTTCAGGAACACAATTTTTTAATGTGATTGTCAGGAAACAGTTATGAAGTGGCATTATGTCTTTATGGGCCTCAGGATAGACTCTTAAAAATGAATTCTGACAGAATGTTAATGGAGTAAGAACATTATTGTGGAAGTTTCTCTGCACTATCAGTAAGCAAAATGAATAGTTGTAGTATCTGAATAGTTCAAAGCAATCTTATCTTTTCCTCTCACACTTTTCCAACTCTGGAATCCAGCCAAACATCAGTGTCAGCCCCTAGACAAGGGGGCCACACAAGAAAAGCTTTCAAGAAGGTTCTGACATTTTCCCTCCCCAAAATATAGTCATGTATGTAAATTCCTAAAGACATGATAAAAATATTTTCCTCTTTGCCCCTTGAAGGGGATGATTGTTTCTCTTTACACACTCTTGGAGTTTGTCATTAGCCATAATTCAGGAGCAGAGGTATGAAATCTGCTTTCCTATGTTAATTTAATCTCTGCACTGAGGCTATGAGCTCCCATCTTCGAAGCTAAGAAAATGCACCGCACCTGCCATAATAGTTTACTAAACGAGCCACCAAAGAGAAGGGCCAGGCGCTTCGGAAATTAGGGTAGTCAGTGAACTGAGCTATCCAGAAACGCTCTGAGATTACAAAAGGAGCCATCATGAAGTGAGAATTCAAGATTGCTCAAGGAAAGTTTTACCCCTGTGGATAATTCACTTTTTTTTTTTTTTCACTTTCATTCTGCAGGGAGCAGTACGGGTTCTCGGACTACACACATTACTATATCGCTTCATTTATTAGGGAAAAAAGATGATGTGGCTAGGGTTTAAAAAAAAATTTTAAAAAGGCAGGTAGGCCCCAAAACAGAATCCTCAAAGCAATTACAATTCAAGTGAAAAGCTGCTCAAGTACCCTTCCAATGATCTAAAAATAGTCTTTTATGTAAGTGTCTAAGTATTTAATTCAATGTATAATCTCACCACATTCAACAGAGGCAAAAGAAAAACGTATTAGGTTTTCTATAGTAAGGCCAATAAAGATGAAATCATAGTTTTCCTCTAACTCATCACCATCAACGCCAGCCTTCCAACAACTCCATTCCACAGCTCTGATTCCTAAACTTGGATCTTAGAAAAACAACGGATTGCAGGAGTACCATGGGGTGGGGGGTCCTCTTTCCCGTCGCTGTCAGCAGTCTTTTGCGGAACCAGAGGAGGAAAAGAAATCAGGCTTCCCGACTAAGGGCGCAGACAGCGGGGAAGCGGGGTGGACGCGCTCCTCTCCCGGGGAGAAAAGTTACAAGGACGGATGCGTGGAAGGGCAAGGAGAGGAATCGGAGCCGCACCACTTAACCCCAAGCACCGAGCCAGCACCCAGCCAGCCTGCACGGAACGGGTCCGTGGATCCCCCTGGTCAGAGGAACGGGAAGACTGCGTAGCCCCGGGAGCGGCAAAGAAGCCCTCCTGCCCCAGCCTCCCGCGCCCGCTCCAGGACTCACTCAACCCGCGCCGCCCAGCCGCGCCCGGGCGTCCCCGCCGCCGGTCCCAACTTTGCCTCCGGTCTGGGGCGTTGCGCGCCGGGCCGGGCAGGAGGGACGCCGGGGGACGCGAGGAGGTAGGCGAGAGCACGCGACCCGCGACCGACGGCCTCCGTTACCTGAGGGGCGCGCTCGCCGCCGCAGGGACCACCATCGCCGCGTGTCCGCGCTCTTCCTGCTGACCGTGGCAATGCTGCCGAGCGACTGACACTAACAACAAGTAAGTACTGTAACTCTCGCCGCCGCCGCGTCCGCTGCGCGCTCCCGCCCGCCGCCTGTCCGGCCCACCAGCCTGCGCGTTCCCCCAGGCCCGCGCGCCACCCCTCCGCGCGTTCTCGCTCGCCTCTCGAGGGACGAGCACGCGCGCGCGCACCGCCTTCTCCCAGCGCTCCCCTCAACTGCGGGGGCGGAGTCGCCAAGAGGCCCCGCCTTCCAGCGGTCCAACAGGCGGAAGAAGAGACCTAGAGGGCACCTAATTGGTTGAGGGGCGGGCCCAAAACGAGGGGCAGGGTGATCAAGACCTTGGGCTCCGTGACGGAAAAATTGGGTTCTATTAAACACCAAAAGAAAAGTCCTCTGGAACCATTTGAAAATGGTTGTCTTTATGGTAGCCAGTCTAAGAATACAGAATAGGTGCTTCCAAGTACTCCACTACAGTATTTAGTAATTATCAAGTTAAATCTTATCCTCTGCGGGGTTTTGCCGTAAAACAGAAAACTACATCTCCCAGGAGGCCGCGCGAACGTGCATGCGTCATCACGTAATCATCCACCGCATCGAGACAAAATAATCCCTTCGTTTTTTCTAAAGGTATTGGCTATATTTCACTTTTCTCCTCACTGGAGCTACTTTAAGTGTTTCCGTGATAATACAAGTTACCTTTCTGGAGTTGGTTAAGCGATTTAGGTAAGGAAAAAGAAAGGATATCAAAATAAATTACTGCGGAGGGATTCCTCTGGCGCTGTGAGAGTGAATGCGAAGAGCACAGCAGTGACTGAAGGGCTGAGGGGACTGTGCTCTGACCAGGGCCTCGTATTAGGCCCCGGCTTCGGGTGCCCTTGTCGTCTGCAGGTCAGTAGGTTGTGCGATCTTGCGGGCGGCCACCATCGAGGTGTCCTTCGCCCTCTGACTGAAGATCACCCATCCTTTGCTGTTACTGGTTTGTCTCGGACAGAGGCCGACTGAATGGGGGCGCCTCACTTCCGGTAGGGGGAGGGGAGGGATGGCTCCTGGGGGAGGGAGGACAGAACTCACTTCCTGTGGGACAGGGTGGTGGTTTGGGGTTACCAGCCCACTTCCCGTGCCGGCAAGGGCCTGAAAAGCTGGTGCTGGGTTTCCTCGCCAAACACTACGTCGCATAGTTTGGGAGTAGTTTCGTGACAAAAGTGAGAGTATTCCACGAAGCTGTGATCATCTACCTGAAGGCTGAGTTACGTGTTTGGTTTCCACGTGTGAGATAGAAAATTTCTTCCCAACAAAGTTTTCCTAGTGCTTTCTTCAAAGAATGCAAAGCCCCTTGTTAAAATGAATTAGACAAGAGCACACTTTTGTGTATGACACAACGAATTGCCCACTTTGCTTCTTGAAGTGGACATTGATGGGGTGGGTAGTGTTCTCTGCTTTGATGTGAAGCGAGAACTCTAGCTGCTGTGCTAAAGCACACGGTCTATTACCTAGAGGGCCGATAATTAACATAAGTTACGGGACATTTTCATTTTAGCAGAGGGCCAGTGTAGGAAGTACTCAAGATTTGGTGTTGCTTTAACTGAAGTAATTGGTATCCTACATCCTAAAGCCTTTGGATTTGAGGGTATAGGTTTGCCCAGAGAACATCGTCCCCAGCCTTAAAAATTCGTGGAGCTGACAGGCAACATTTGTGAAAGTTGTATTTCAGTACATCTCCTTTTCTATTCGTTTTAAGGAATGGTGCAAGGATTATGAGCTCAGCTCACATTTTAAGTTAAGGGGGAAATGGTGCAAAAAGCACAAAAGATGAGTAAAGAGAATTATTTCCAGTATTTTTTGTATAAGAAAAGATATGTGAATTGGTAATAAACGCTCAATAGTTTTGATCCTTGTCTTTTGTCAAGTAACGGTACTTGCATATATGTGTCCTGAAAATCAGCCTTTTTAAAAGCTTTGTGAAATCTCAATAATTTCATGATGTCGGTCATGTGAACCTGGAACTGTGACCTCTTTCAAAACGAATTCTAGCCTCCGAATTTCTAATTTTAATTCTAGTTCTTTTTAAAGCCTATTTGGTTTAGAGTATATTATAAAATTTCAAGCTTTGAAAATAAAAAGGCCGGCCAAATAGTACAGCGAATTAAAGCACCTGCAAGCAGGCGCAGGGGCCAGGGGTTCAATCCCCAGGCATGCCTTGCCGGCCCCACCCCCTGGGCACGCTGAGATGACCATTGAGACAGCGTGCTGGTGCGTGCCTGTAATCCCACCTCTTGGGAGGTTTTAAATAGGAGGATCACTATGAGTCCAGTCTAGTAGTGAGACCCTGAACTCCCTGTAGACCCTTCCCTAAAATACAAAAAAAGAAAAAAAATTTTTTTTTCATCTTAACATGGCCTTGTTTTAGAAATCATTCTGATGGACTGAGGATGCAGCTCAGTGATAGAGCACTTGCCTGTATGTGAGGCCCTGGAGTCCATCCCCAGTACAACAGGGGAAAATATCAGCCTGAACCCCTAAAAGCACTTATCTCTTAAAAGACCGCAAAATTGCAGCAGCAGTTGACTGAGAAGACAAGGCAAAATAATGTCCATGTTCTCACTAGCAGAGGATTAGGGGCATTTGGACTGCCCCCAATACGTATTAATTGACTAAAAAGTATTCACTGTCTTCTATATTAATGTAATACCATGTTGATACAAATTAAACTGTAGTTTAGAAATTGAAGTATAAAATGATTGTAGAACTAAAAGAAAAAATAGAGAAAACATTAAAGTACTAATTGAGAAGCAGTATAGTGAAATATTATATTGCCTCCTGGAAAGCAAGAAATTTCTTAAATTGGTCCTCTTGACATTCTATGAAGAAATGCAGTATAATAGAAATAAGCAATGCTGTAGCTGAAAGCTTGGAGCAATTTGAAGAAGTGTCTGTTGAGAAGAAAGCAGTACATAAAGTACATACTAGAAGAAGACATTTTGTGATAGCATACAGTTATTCATTGATTCCATCAAAGAAGAAATATTGTGAAAGCTTCTGAAAAATAGAGGGAAAGTCTGTGGATATTGTTTTTATTCATTTTTAGTGAAGCTCGGTGTCCTGTCTTCCAAAGGTGTATTTTGGTGTTTTTTCTTCCTTAATACCCCTTTGTTGCATTTTTCTTTCCATGTTCTAACAGGAACATAGTGTCACAACTTTTGCCATTATACTGTTATTTCTTTGAGTTAATCATTTGAGATTTTCATATCATTGCCTGCCATCTGTAATAAGTTACCTATTTTTTAAAGAAATTGGTTAGATAACTTTTCCAAAAGCATTCTTTGAATGCACTGCTCATAGCTTGAATTATTAGAATAGGTCAAAATTGTTGATTCTGTCTCATTGAAATTTGATTGATTATACATAGGGGTGCTATGCATTGTGCCCTTTTCATTCTTTTGTCTATTTTATTTGTAAAATCATGCTTATATCTTACATCGTATTGGTTTTTTACTTCTTGTTTTGGCAGTGGTGGTGGTTTATGTTTGCCATGGAGTTGAATGTTAAAGAGACTATCCTAGTGTGTGTGTGTGTGTGTGTGTGTGTCTTTGTTTTTTAAAACTTAATACTCTACTTTTTTTACTTCACTATTTTCAGGAGTATTTAGTGGCCAGGCATGGTGGTACATGTTTGTAATCCTAGCACTCACCTGTAATCCTAGCCCTGGGGTGTGGAGGTGCTGAGGCAGGAGGGTGGCCAAGAGTTTGAGGCCACTTGGGCTCTATAGTGAGTTTAAGGAGAACCTGAACTTTTTGAGACCATGTCTCAAAAAACAAAAACAAGGCTGAGTGTGGTGGCACAGTCCTATAATCCCAGCACTAGGGAGACTGAGGCAGGAGGATCCTTGTGAGTTCGAGACCAGCCTGGGCTACAAAGTGAGCTCAAGGCCAGTCAGAGCTGCATAGTGAGACCCTGTCTCAAACAAACAAAAAACCTGTAAGCAGAGGAGTATTCAAGTAAGAATTCCCATGCATGTCTTTTCGTGGGAACTTCAAATACATAAACACAGGCCAAATGGCCATATACTCTTGGCATTCACTTACTAGTTTGCAAATCAAAGCTGGAATTTTGCTCCCCCGGCATTCCTAAGTGGATCTGTGTTATGATCATTGTTCAAACCAGGTCAGGATACAGCCCTAATTTCATTTCTCTGTCATGATGTCTATGTGATTCTAAACACATGAGTATTTCAGCCTTATCTCAGACCATGTAAGCCTCTGTGTTATGGATTTAGCCCTTTTCATTAATACATACATCATGATACTATCATTCTGGCTTCTTTGTACTGTGTGAAGAGGTAAGAATGAACAGTAGTGGACTAAATAGGTGACCAGACAGGCCTGGATTCAAAACTGGTCTTTATATATTTTACTAGTTAGAGAACCCTGAGCTTCAGTTGCCCTAAAGCTAAATAGGGTCATTTGCTAGAACAAGAATATTGGATATAAATCACTGGCACAGTCCTGGTGTTGGAAGCTTAATCATTGATTGCTCTTATTTTACCTCTACTCTTGCTTTAGTTATTCTGCGATTTGCCCACATGTCTGTTTTAAGTCTTACATATTCTCAAAAGTGTGATAAATAGAGGTTGGCTATTGAGATTCTGCCTTGTCTTCCATCAGCATACTCATTAAGTCATTAAGACTGTATTTTTTTGTTTCTTTTATAAAGAAATCAATTTCCATGATTACTTTAGAAAACATACATAAAAGTTTCAAGAAAAAGATTAAGAAATCACCTAATGATTTGAACTGTTACAGGAAGATATTTAACTTATTTTCTTAACTGTATTTAAATAGTATGCTATATAAATACTATATAAGTACTGCATGTCCCACCCTTTATGCTGATTGTATCTTTCATTATCCATGTATGTATTCCAAACTGAATGATCTCTGGAAAACAATATGAATGGTACCTTGCCTCTGTAGGTTAATTCGTGTTATCCTCTGCCTGTAATACTTCCTTATTCCTAGGCATCCCCATCTGTGAAATGCTGCCTTTGAGACACTTTTTCAAGTATCATCCTCAAGAAATATTGTCTGATGTCTGTCCTCTTTCCACTCTCCCGAACTATGGATGTTCTGTTCATTGATTCTTCAGGACATTTTGTATTGCTGTTACTGCACTTAATATGAGTGCTCCTGTTATCTTTTTGTTATATGCAGAGTTTATGTCCTATCATAAAAGGCTGCAGACTATATGCTATTCTTCTCTGGAACTACTGTCATACTGGAAATGATTCTATTCACATGGTAGGCATTCAGTAAATATGTGTGGAGTTGAACTGGTACCTGGGCTATCATAAATCTGATAACTTTTATCCACTGCTTCACTCAGCCTCAAGCATAGTGACCAACTTATAATAGACCCTCAAATGCCTAAAGAATGAGAATACATAAATAATCATTTTCTCATTTTTGACTAAAGTGTAAGTATGTTGATCACACCTATGTTAAGCATCTATTATATAATTATACAATGAAATCTGATACCTGCCCTCCATTTATTTGGGAAGAAAGAAATAACTAACGTACATAAACTCAACATTGTAGATGTTTCAGTTGAGGTGGGTTGGGGAGTTCAGTACAGAATTTTTGCATTGTGAGAGCTATCCCTTACTGTAAGGTAAAAAGTCTTATTGTCAGGTAAAAAGTCTTTTTTTTTTTTTTTTTTTTTTTTCGGAACTGAGGATTGAACTCAGGCCCTTGCACTTGCCAGGTGAGTGCTTATTCTGTATCCCCTATTGTCTTAACTCAGAAATCAAATAGATTTTAATACTACTTACTTGGATACTTGTACATTGTATTTGCACTGCTAGGTTTACATTCAAGAGAATTTGCACAAGT